GTGCCCCTTCCTCTCTCCCAGGCCCCCGTGCCCTGGTGCCATCTAGAAACAATTAGGCACACCTCCAGACTGCCCGGGAGCCGCCCAGCCCCTCAGGCCCACTCACGACCCTGTGTTTTGCAGGTCACCAGTTTGGGCTACACACTGCAGGCAGCAAGTGGGACTCGGGGAACCCTGCCAGCAACCTCTCCACGGTGGCGGTCATGCCTGTGTCGGAGGATGTGCCCCTCACCGCCTTTGCCCTGGAGCTCAAGCACGCCCTCGGTGCCATCGGTGAGTCCTGCCCGAGGCTACCTGGGATCTGCTCAAGCCCTCCTCTTCTTACTTCTTGGTCCTTCTGGTTCCTTCTGCAAGTGCAGTTAGTGTCGTCCTCACCGCTAAGCCTTGGGCGGGGGGTGCGGGGAGGGGGTGCTCGGGAGAGGACGGGAGCGGAAGAGCATCCACCAGGAGTTTTCTGAGGGTCTCGATGGCAGACGCTGTGTCACGGGAGCCTGTGTCACCCGCCCCTTGCAGCTGCTCCTCCAGCATGGATGGGGGCTCCCTGTGCGGAGGGGACTCTGTGGCTGCAGGAGCTGGCTGACAGCGTGGAAAATGCCCTCAGTTGAGGTCAGGGAGCTTGGGGTAGTGTTTCCAGATTGCTGACAGCTGTTAAACTTTAGAATTCAAAAACAAGGAGTTGAAATTCCTGAGAACTCTTAGGAACTCCCCAAATCATAAAGTGTTATGTATTCTTAACACTTTATTTATAAGTTTTCATATAATTGTGAGTAACTCTAGTAATAGTAAATCGATTTTCTGTGATATGGTAATGCTGAAGATTTCAGGGGTTGTCTTTATTTTTTTTAATTATTTTTTAATTTTAATTTTATTTTTGAAAGAACACAAGCGGGGATGGGCGGGGGCGCAGAGAGAGAGGGGGACAGAGGATCTGAGGTGGGTTCTGAGCTGTCACCACAGAGCCCGACACAGGGCTTGAAATCATGAACTGTGAGATCATGACCTGAGCTAAAGTCGGATGCTTAACCCACTGAGCCACCCAGGTGCCCCGGGGTTGTCTTTTAAAGAAGGACATGAGAATAAATGCAGTGAGCATTAGATCACTGTCATGAAACAACGTGAGAAAGGTTCTCTACTTGATGTAGACATTTGATAATAGGAAGCATTAAATAAATACCAAATAAAAAAGATTACTAAAGTTGGAAGATTCTACGATAAGTACTTAAAACTTATTCTGAAGACAAAATTCTAAAATACAGAAGGCATTCATTGCCATGTCAGTCTTGATCTTTGTTTCGTAACAAACACTCCAGATGTGGGGAATCCCATTCATCTCCTGTTGGCGTTGCACACATTGTCCGGGGCACACAGAGCATCTCCAAGTTGTATAGCAGGGATGTCTTGCTTTCCTAAAAGCTTATTCCCTTTCTTAAAAACAAAAACTTTATTTTGTAATAATTACAGATTCCGAGGAAGTTGCGGATAGTAGAGAGGACCATGTACCATTCCCCCAGGTTATGTAACTGTCGCACCCAGTCAGGATAAGGAGATAGACATCTGTGGGGTCTGTGGGCCTTCAGGTGTCACTGGTTGTGACATGTGTATGCATGGGTGCATGTGCTCTGTGCCACTGTGGCTCCCATGTGTTCCTGCTGCCACCTCCAGGTACAGACCCCTCCCGCCCCCTGCTGCCCCTCCAGGTACAGACACCCCCACACCCCTCCAGATAGACTCTCACCAACACCATCCCCTGCCCTTCCAGGTACAGACCCCCGCCCCTTGCCCCTCCACAGCTCTGCTCTGGCAGCTTCTGTTGTTTCATCATTCTGAGAGTATCATAAAAATGGAGTCCTACGCAGATGACCTTTGGATACTGGCTCTCTAGGCTCAGATGGTGCCACCTGTCAGTAGTTTGCTCCCTTTCACTGTGGAGAGATAGCCTGAATGTACTTGGTTGCTTCACCTGTTGAAGGATATTTGGGTTTCTTCTGGTTTGGGGGTTTTGTGAATAAAGCTCTGTGACCTTTTGTGTCAAGGATTTTGTATACTTGTGAGTTTCCATTTCTCTGGAAAGACGTCTCGGCATGTGGTGAGTGTGATAGATGTGTGTGCAGTCCTGAAGAGCTGCTGACCCTTCTAGAAGGCTGCTCTTCCTCGTCCTTGCCAGCCCTGGGAGCTGCCGTTGGTTTTTATTTCTGCTGCTCTGATGGGTGGGTAGTGAGAGCACATCACGGTTTCCATTTGGGTTCTCTAGTGGTTTACGACCCTCAGTGTCTCTTCCTATGCTTCCTTACCATGTGTGGGTCCTCTCTGCTCAAGTATCTGTTCATAACTTCTTATCTTTTGCTCCTTTTTGAGTGAGTTGTTTATTTTCTTACTGTTGAGTTTTGAGAATTCTTTTGAATGTTTATTTATTTTTGAGAGAGAGAAAGAGCACAAGCAGGGGAGGGGCAGAGAGAGAGGGAGACACAGAATCTGAAGCAGGCTCCAGGCTCTGAGCTGTCAGCACAGAGACCAACATGGGGCTTGAACTGAGGAACCGTGAGATCATGACCTGAGCCCTAAGCAGGACGCTTAACCAACTGAGCCACCCAGGTGCCCTAAGTTTTGAGAATGCTTTATGTACTCCAGATATGGGTCCTTTGCTGGGTCTGTGGTTTGCAGATGCGCTGCTCCCTCCTCTGCTGCCTTCTCTGCTTTCACAGGCAGAACTGTCAATTTTGATGAAGTCCAGTTTATCAGTGTTTTTCTTTTATGGACTATGTTTTCAGTATCATTTCTAAAAATTCTGCACCTAGCCCTAGGGCCTAGATTCTCTCCTGTGTCTTTTCAAAAGTCTTGAAGTTGGGGCACCTAGGTGGCTCAGTCAGTTAAGCATCGACTTGATCTCAGCTCGGGTCATGATATCATGGTCTGTGGGTTCGAGCCCCGTGTCTGGCTCTGTGCTGACAGCATGGAGCCTGCTTGGGATTCTGTCTCTCTGCTTCTATCCCCCTCGTGCTCTCTGTCTCTCTCTCTCTCAAAAATAAATAAATAAACTTAAAAAAAAAAAACAAAACCAAAAGGCTTACAAAAGTTTTACGTTTAAATTTATGATCTGTTTTGGAGCTAATTTTTGTAAAAGGTGTGAAGTTTAGGTAGAGGTTTAATTTTTTGCTTATGGATATCCAGTTGCCCCACCATCATTTGTTGAAAAACTCCATTCTTCCATTGAGTGGTCTTGGCACCCTCCTGAAAATCATTTTATCCATGTGAGGGTTCGTTTCTGGGCCATTCTGTCTTCACGCCAGCACCGCGCTGTGTTGATTATGGTAGCTCTGTAGTAGGTTTTGAAGTCAGGAAGTGTGCTTTGTTCCTTTTTTATTTTTCCTTTGACAGAAAGAGAGGGCGTAAGTGAGTGAGGGGCAGAGAGAGAGAGAGAGAGAGAGTGCAAGTGAGTGAGGGGCAGAGAGACAGAGAAAGAGAGAAGTGGGGCTTGAACTCACTCGATGTGGGGCTCAAACTCAGGAACCGTGAAATCATGAGCTGAGCGGAAGTCAGATGCTTGACACACCTGAGCCACGCAGGTGGCCTCCAGCTGTGTTCTTTTGCAGGGTTGTTTTGGCTGTTCAGGGTCCCTTGAGATCCGTAGGAGTTTCAGGACGTGCTTTTCTATTTCTGTGAGAAACTCATTGGGATTCTGACAGGGATTGCGCTGGATCTGCGGTTCACTCTGGGCGGTACTGGCATTGTGACAATATTCACTCGTCCAACCCATGAACACAGGACATGTTCCCATGTTCGTAAGTCAATTCTTTAATCTCTTTCAGCAATGGTTTGTGGTTTTCAGTGTACAAGTTTAAGTTTATTCCTAATATTTTACTTAAAAAAATTTTTTTAACATTTATTTAATTTTGAGAGACAGAATATAAATGGGGGACAGGGCAGAGAGAGAGGGACACACAGAATCCAAGGCAGGCTCCAGGCTCTGAGCTGTCAGCACAGAGCCCAATGTGGGGCTTGAACTCATGAACTGTGAAAGCATGACCTGAGCCGAAGTTGGACGCTTAACCAACTGAGTCACCCAGGTGCCCAGCGTTTTACTCTTTTTGATCCTGTTGTAAATGGAATTGTTTTCTTAACCTCTTCCTTAACCTCTGTCACTGAATAGGAAGAGAACTGACTTTTGTGTGTTGTTTTTGTGTCCTGCTGCTTCTCTTATTAGTTGTAACGGTTTTGGGTGGACTTTTTAGGATGTTCTACATATAAGATCATGTTGTTTCTGAGCTAAGATAACGTTACCTGTTCTTTTCCAATTTTGATGTCTTTTATATCTTTTTTTTCACCTAACTGCTCTGGCTGGGACTTCCAGCACAACGTTGAGTAAAAGTGGTGAGAGCGGTCGCCCTTTCTTGTTCCTGGTCTTAGGGGAAAGTTTTCTCATGCCACTGGTGTGATGTCAGCTCAGGTTTATATGTATGGCTTTTAATATACTGAGGAAGTTTCTTTCCATTAATAGTTGTTTTTTTATTTTTTTAAGATTTTACTTTTGAGTAATCTCTACACCCAACGTGGGGCTTGAACACACAACCTGGAGATCAAGAGTCGCACGTTCCACCAACCAAGCCAGCTGGGAGCCCCTGCTTCTTTTTATTTCTGTAAAATCAGTAATGTCCCCCTGCTGTCATTTCTGATTTTAGTGATTTGAGTCTTCTCTTTTTTTTCCTTTATTCATATAGCTAAGGGTTTGTCAGTTTTGTTGATTCTCTCAAAAAAAGACTTCTGGTTTCATTGATTTTCTCTATTGTGTTTCTATTCTTTTTATTTATCTCTGTTCTAATCTCTTATTTCATTCCTCTGTCTGCTCTGGGTTTAGTTGGTACTCTCCCACGGTATATGTTAGGTCCTTGATCTGTGCATTTGTACATTTATAGTTTTGGGTCCCCTCTTCTTTCCTGGTGAGCTGCCCCTGGAGTTTGGAATGTTGTGTTTGTGTTTTCACTGGTCCCAGGGTATTTTTCTAATCTCTTCTGCAGTTTCTTCTTGGACCTATGGGTAGTTCGGAACTGTTTTCTAATCTCCACATATTTGTGAATCTTCTGGTTCTCCTGTTACTAATTTCTAGTTTCATACCATTGTGACTAGAAGAGATACTTGTAGGATTCAGTCTTAAAGTTTACTAAGACTTGTTTTGTGGCCTCACATACAGTGTGTCCTAGAGAATGTTGTGGAGTTTTTTGTTGTTATTGTTGTTTAAGTAAGCTCCATGCTCGTTGTGGGGATCGAACTCACAACCTTGAGATCAAGAGTCGCACACTCCACCGACTGGGCCAGCCAGGCGCCCGTGGATAAAGTCCTGGAGAATGTTCTGGGAAGGTGTGTGGTCTGTTCTTCTGGGTGGTTAGTCTTGCCTCTGTGCCCTTTGGTGAGTGTGCAGTGGTGTCTTGTTACGGCTTTAATTTGTATTTCCCACTGACTGAGAAGTTTGTTTATTGGCCATGGAGACACCCGCTTTTGTAAGTGCCTATCAAGTCACCCAGTATCTTTATTGGGTTGCCATCTTTTCCTTGTTGATGGGTATTTTTTTGTGTAATCTCAGTACAGTTCCTTTTTTGGATGCTAATATTGCAGGTATCTTTTCCCATCTGTGGCTTGCTTTTTTATTCGTTTAATGATGTCTTTTGACAAACAAGTTCTTAATTCTAACGCAGACCAATTTACCACATTTTTTCTTAAAAAAATTTTTTTTCAATGTTTATTTATTTGTGAGAGAGAGAGACAGAGACACAGTGTGAGCAGGGGAGGGGCAGAGAGAGAGAGAGACAGAGAATCCGAAGCAGGCTCCAGGCTCCCAGCTGTCAGCCCAGAGCTCTAAGCAGGTTTGAACCCACGAGCCGTGAGATCATGACCTGAGCCAAAGTTGGACGCTTAACCGACTGAGCCACCCAGGCGCCCCCAAATTTTCTTTTTAAAAAAATTTTTTTATTTAATTTATTTTTGTAATTTACATCCAAGTTAGTTAAATAGTGCAACAGTGATTTCAGGAGTAGATTCCTTAATGCCCCTTACCCATTTAGCCCATCCCCCCCTCCCACAACCCCTCCAGTAACCCTCTGTTTGTTCTCTCTATTTAAGAGTCTCTTATGTTTTGTCCCCCTCCCTGTTTATTATTTTTGCTTCCCTTCCCTTATATTCATCTGTTTTGTATCTTAAAGTCCTCATACGAGTGAAGTCATATGATATTTGTCTTTCTCTAACTGACTAATTTTGCTTAGCATAATATTCTCTAGTTCCATCCATGTAGTTGCGAATGGCAGGATTTCATTCTTTTTGATTGCCGAGTGATACTCCATTGTATCTATATACCACATCTTCTTTATCCATTCATCCATCGATGGACATGTGGGCTCTTTCCAGACTTTGGCTACTGTCGATAGCGCTGCTATAAACATGGGGGTGCATGTGCCCCTTCGAAACAGCACACCTGTATCCCTTGGATAAATACCTAGTAAGGCAATTTCTGGGTCATAGGGTAGTTCTATTTTTAGTTTTTTGAGGAATCTCCAGACTGTTTTCCAGAGTGGCTGCACCAGCTTGCGTTGCCACCAACAATGCAAAAGAGATCCTCTTTCTCCGCATCCTCGCCAACATCTGTTGTTGCCTGAGTTGTTAATGTGAGCCATTCTGACAGGTGTGAGGTGGTATCTCCTTGTGGTTTTGAGGTGTATTTCCCTGATGATGAGTGATGTCGAGCATTTTTTCATGTGTCGGTTGACCATCTGGATGTCTTCTTTGGAGAAGTAACTATTCATGTCTTTTGCCCATTTCTTCACTGGATTATTTGTTTTTTGGGTGTTGAGTTTGATAAGTTCTTTACAGATTTTGGATACTAACCCTTTATCTGATATATCATTTACAAATATCTTCTCCCATTCCGTCGGTTGCCTTTTAGTTTTGCTGATTGTTTCCTTCGCCCAAATTTTTTTCTTATATTGTTACTGTTTTTTTTGTTTTACCGAAGGAATTTCATCCTGCCCCCAAATCATGAAGATGTTCTTCTAAACACTTCACGGCTTTACCTTTCCTTTTCAGTTCACAATCCATTTAGGGTTGCTTTGGGTTATAATACAAGATAGAAGTCAAGATTCACTTTGTCTTCAGCGACCCAGAACCCTCCTTTAGAAAGACTGAACTTGGCCCGTTGCTGTGCTGACACCTTTGCCAAAAGTCATGTGCCCAGGCTTGTGTAGGCTGCCTTCTCTTCTGGAGGAAGATTCTAGGCTGATGGCCATTTTCTTCTAGCACTTGGAGGTTTTCATTTCCTCAGCTTCCAGTGTTTGGGAAGAAGGCTGTCCAGCAGCCAGGCCAGCGGTGACTGTCCAGGCCAGAGGGGGAGCAGCAGTCTGGCTGGATGCCCACTTCAGCTGTGCCCCACAGAGCCACAGACGCAAGTGCAGATGAACCACCCTGTTTCCCCTCCCTTCCCTGGACCTGCCCACTGCCTGGCCATAAGCAGACCCCTCCCAGGGACAGGGTCGGTCACCACACTCCTGACTGGCCGTAGCCGTAGCCTGTGCTGTGGGAGGCCAGGGTCTCCTCAGAGCCCCCTGAGTCCAGGCAGGGGTGTCTACAAGGAGACATGCACTAGTGGGCAGGCAGAGCCCAGCCTGGGGTCCCTGGAGGGCCTCAGGGCTGGGCTCTTCAGTGTTCCTGCAGCCAGACACAGCCTGCGCGTCACCTCACGTCCTGCCTGTCCAGGAGGCGGTCAAGACGTGTCGCTGCAGTGCGCACAGCAGGGCCCACCCTTGCAGGCACGTGATGCAGCCCAGCCCCAAGAGGTCTCCCCTCCTCCATCCGGCCCGTGCAGGTGACCAACTAGAGCTGGTAGCAGGAGTGCAGGCCCCCAACCTGATCCGCTCCCTCACCCCAAGCCCCTGAGAGGAGGAGCTTCCCTACACCAGAAAGTTTCTGTCACTTGAGTCCGAGCTGTCCATGCGTGCCCATGGCTCCTACCAGATAGCCGTATCTCAGTAGGGACACCATCATCGTAGGACACACCCCCCCTATTTTGGGTGCCTCTAGGAGAGCAGATGCTGCCAGTTAAAATACGATGCGGTGATTTCTTAGCTCTCACCTTTAACTGTCTGCTCTTGGAGAGCTCTGTACAAGCACAGGAATGAGAAGAAAGCCCTCAGGACTCCTGGGTCTTCTCCATCCCTGGGTTGTGGGTGCTCATCTGCGGCCCCCAGTGCATGTGAGCCCCTGGTGACCTTTCTGCGGACCCTGATGCTGGCCCTCCTGGTTGGGTGGGCCCTGACACCTGTGTCCACGTAGACATCGTAGATGAAAGATGCATGCTGGTCTCAGAGACAACAAAATGTGAAAAGAAGCATCTCCACATGCGTGAATACACCACCACACCATATTGGAATTCAGCCAACCTCACTCATGTGGATTTGGGGAATTATATTATCTTGCATTTTACAAACTGTGCTTCCCCTGCCCCCAACACTCACGCACGCACACACACACACACACACACACACACACACACACACACACACAGTATCAGTGTTGCAGAGATATGTCAGTGTTGCAGAGTGAGGTTCAGAGAGCCCCCCGCTGCCACCTGCTGAGCTCTTGAGCTGGCACAGCCCTCCGAGCTCCTCTGCTCAGCACCTACTCCTACACCGGGTGATCTCAGCCGTCCAGAGGGTCTCCTCTGTGCACAGAGAGAAGTGTCGCCCAGATACAGGCACTTCCTCTTTGAAAGAAGAAAGGCTTCTCATTGTTCTCAAGAAGACCGGACCTCTAGGGAGGGAGTGGGTGCTCTCATCTGTGGGGAGGTGGGCTGCCAGGACAGCTTTCTGTAATTTATGTGTGTGTTTTCAGGCCCTGTCCTCCTGCTGACCAGTGACAACATCAAACAGCGCCTTGGCTCTGCTGCCCTGGACAGGTATACCAGCCTCTGTGTGGAAAACAGTCTGGCCGACCCTAGCTTCTTGCTCGCAGCGGGTCCAAACACAGCCTGGCATCTGCATCCCCCACGTCCCCTGGTGTTTGTGTCCCTCGCGTCTGCAACCCCTGCAGCCGTACACCCCCGTGTCCACACGTGCCCTGGCATCTGCACCACACCATGACCGTGCCTTCCAGTATCCACGAGTACCGGCTGTCCAGCTGGCTGGGGCAGCAGGAGGACATCCACCGCATCGTGCTCTACCAGGCGGACAGCACGCTCACACCGTGGACCCAGCGCTGCATCCGGCAAGCCGACTGCATCCTCATCGTGGGCCTGGGAGAGCAGGAGCCCGCTGTGGGCGAGGTAACCGGTTGGGGCTGCCAGGGGGTGGGGCCTCTGAGGGCGGGGCTGCCAGAGGGCAAGGTGGCAAGGACAGGGGTGGTGGAGGCAGGGCTGCAGGCGGGCCAGGTTCTGGTCAGGGGCCGCTCTCCTCACAGCCCTGTTTCCCTGTCTTTTCCTTTGAATGAAATGTTTCAAGAACCCAGGAAAAGACCTAATAAAAGCCGACACCCATATAGCTTCTCTTCATGATTTGAAACGTTTTGCTGTCTTCACCTGTGGTGGTGGTTTTAGCACAAAGCAGGGCAGGCGCCCTGAAGTGGCCCGCAGGTGGCCTCTTGTGAAGTTGAGTGTCCTGAGTTTTACTATGAGGTATACAGCACAGCTTCACAGATCTACATCTGATATAAATAGTGCCCTATTTTATATCACTGTGAAATGTCCTTTTTCCCTCAACACTTAGGTGTTTAAGATTTATCCATATCGTTTCACTGGGTTCTGTGGCTGTTTAGTTTCCTATTTGTGAGTACCCCACCATCTGTTCTCAGCTGTGAAGTTAACGTCGTCAGCCCACTTTGTTTCCAGCTTCAAGGGTATGAAGTGTAGGCTTGCCTTCCCTTAGCACACATTCCCCATCTCCTTCCTCTCTGATCCCAGGGCAGCTAAAAATTACCCATCTCTGAAGCGGGCTCCTCTTCTGCAGGGAGAGATGCAGGGAGTGTTTGCGGACACATCATTTGAGAAGGTCACAGTGTGTGCACATGCGGAGGAGGTGTTAGGAAAACGGACGGGGGGCGGCCTCTCCCTTCCTGTACACCCCAGAGCTCCCTGTGGCCACCCTTACCAACTCAGCATGCATCAGGCATATGGCTGGGCAGACCCCTGGGTCACAGCTTCGACAGCCGAAGGGCAGCTCACACCACGGCTGAGCCGGCTCACAGAACCAGGGTGCCACCTGCCAAGGCCCTGCCCTCAACCCTCCTGCCCGTGTGCGGCGGCGGCCAGAGCGGGACCTCTGTCCCGCCGAGGCCTCAGGCTCTGCCCTCCTGCAGCTGGAGCGGATGCTGGAGAGCACGGCCGTACGAGCCCAGAAGCAGCTGGTCCTGCTGCACCGGGAGGAAGGGCCGGCACCCTCCCGCACCGTGGAGTGGCTGAACATGCGCAGCTGGTGCTCCGGCCACCTGCACCTGTGCTGCCCGCGCCGCGTCTTCTCCAGGAGAAGCCTGCCCAAGCTGGTGAGGCCTGGGTGCTGGGCTGGACTGACGGGAACTCCTGGCCTCCAGAACACAGCCTTCCTGACTTGTGATTGCCAAGCTCATTTCCTTCTCGCTCCCTCTCTGGGTCTCTGTAGTCTGAGGTCGCTGGGGTGCTGATGAGGGGAGCTTGCTTCTCTGTAAGCTTACGTTTGCTTGAGTTGATCTTTGGGGGCAGCACCGGGGAGGTTGTTGATGCAGCCCCCGTCCATCAGCAGGTGTCCGTCTTTGGGGTCGCAGAGGGGAGGCACGTAGCCTGACAGAGACATGCTGGCACGCACATACCTCCACAGGGAGCCTGGGGGAGAGTCGGGACGCTGGGGGAGAGGTCACCAGAGCCTGCCAAGGGGGAGGAGGGAGCCTCCTCAGCCCTGGGGGCTTTGCGGGGCTGGGGCCCCACAGGCTGCCCACACTCCACAGCCTATCTGGCCCCACGACTCAGTGAACAGTGTCCTGACAGTGGTGGCTGTGCCCGGGAGCCTGTGCCCTGGAGCACCCTCCACCCTGGTGGCTGGCAGGGTCTTAGCTGGGGTTTGGGCTTGGTATCCCTCTTGGTACAGCTCTCCTGGGGCTCTGTGGTCTCCTGCTGGACCCGTGGGTATGTAGTCCGTCTGCCCACACTGTCCCCTCACCCATGTGCCCTGTGAGGTCCTCTTCCCAGGCACGCCTAGGCACCAAGGTGCTGTCAGCATCAGTATCAGACAGACCCTGCTGTGTCCTGGAGAGGGCTTTGGGTCAGGAGTCGAGGAGGCCACCCCAGTCAGGTCACAGTGTGTGGAACTTGGCCTAGCCCTCCCCGTCTGCTGACCCCTCTCCCAGGTGGAGATGTACGAGCGAGTCTTCCAGAGGCCCCCAGATCGGCACTCGGACTTCTCCCGCCTGGCTCGGGTGCTGACTGGCAACGCCATCGCCCTGGTGCTTGGGGGCGGAGGAGCAAGGTGAGTCCCCACCCCATCCCACCCCATCCCACCCACAGCTGCGTGTGTGTGTGTGTGTGTGTGTGTGCGCGCGCACGTGTGCACGCGCACTCTAATGCTGACCAAGAGGCCTCTGAGCTGGTCCCAGGAGCAGTCCCCATAGATAGGCCCAGTGCATGACCAAGCATGTTTCAGCCCCTGGGTGCACATTGCCAAGCAGTGCTTCCCATAGGCACCCCCGGGTTTTAACGTTTGCCAGTGCAGTAGATTTGTTCTGATTGTCTTTGCTAGAAGTGTCTGCTTATCTGTTAGCCATTCACGCTTCCGCTGAGAACTCTGTTCTTGTCCTTTGCCAGTCTTCCCATTGGGCTGCAGGTGAGTTTCTTTCCATTTTAATACATACTTTATAGACCAGTGTCCTGGTGTGCTTGCAAACGTAGCACAGCGTTCTTCAGTTCTGCGGGCTGATCAGTTCCTTACAGGACTTTTAACCCAAATAACTGCTACCCTGTGTTTGTCATTGTGGCACATGCCTCCTTCCTCCTGAATTTAAAGAGGCATACACACCTGGAACAGACGTGGAGCCCCAGGACACAGTGAGGAGGTGCGAGCAGTGCCTCCCACAACACCTGTGCTGGGGGTGCCCTGTGGGGTGGAGTCCCTCACACTTCCCCCCTGCTCTGGCCGAATGAGGTGCGCAGGGCCTCCTGAGCACTATACATACACCCTACCCCCCAGCCCTGCTGGTGCTGCTGGCCTCTCTCCCGTGGGCCCTAGAGAAGGTGCCTGGCTCAGCACCTCCTGGTTCCAAGGACATCCCTTTCAGAGTGAGCTGGAGGAGGGGCGGGGGGGGGGATGCTCGGAAACATTAAAACCTCTTAGGAGTATCCCCCCTTAGGGGGTACTCTCCAAAGTTTTGTCTCCTGCCTGTGGAGCCAGACCTGTGCTCACACCTGGCGAATTAAAGTCAGAGATGCCGTCCAGCCTCAAGGTCAAGGGAGACCCAGACTCTCTTCTCTAGAAAAGATCGGGATAATGCAGAGGAACAGTCCAAGCCCACTGTGTGCACTTTCCACCTGGAAACCTCTGAGGCCTGGCGTCTGGCCTGAGACCCTTCCTGACAGGAGGGTGGGTAGACACACAGACCCCACCCCTGCTCACCCCAGCATGGGGAGTCGCCACCTCGCTCCAGGGTGTCCTGCTCACCCCCAGACTTGGCCTGCCCCGAGTGATGCGGCACAATCCGAGCACCCTCTGGTGCCGTGCTTTTGCTTGAAAGCTGAGCCAGTCAGCCTGGAGAATGAGGTGATTTACCTAACATTGCCTGATGGAAGGCAAGACCCAGGCTACTTCCTGTGGGACTGGGACAGTGAGGTGGCCCAGAGCTGACCCAGACTTGGACCTGGTTTGTAGGCCAGGATGATGTGATCAATGGCATTTAAAAAAATTTTTTTTTCTCATAAGTTTATTTAGTTTGAGAGAGAGCGAACACACGTCTGTGCATGGGAGCAGGGAAGGGTCAGAGAGAGAATCCCAAGCAGGCTCTGCACCATCGTTGCAGAGCCTGACATGGGGCTCAGTCCCATGAACTGCCAGATCATGACCATGCCAGATCTGAAAAACCAAGAGCCAGAAGCTTGACCGACTGAGCCACCCAGGTGCCACGATCAACAGCATTTTCAATGAAAATTTAGTTTTAGTCAAAATAATACTTAGTTTATAGCCATGTGGCCATTGCCTTGAGGCCATCGTCTGCTGTCTCGCCCGGGACCAAACCCAGAGACATCCCAGAGAAGATCACTTGGAGCATAGTCATCTCTCTGCTCATGTGCATTTCTCAACAGCATAGCCATTCTGTTCTTTCAGTTTTAGATTATTGAGCTCCTAACCCATCCCCCCACCATACACACAGTTTATCTGTCTGTCCTCCGTTCATCTGTCTGTCATCGGCCATCCATCTGTCCATCTGTCCATCTATCCATCACCTGTCTTCTGTCTGTCTCCCTCCTCACCACTCAGTTCCCAGTGTGGTTCCCATGCCAGTCAAGCTAGTTGTCACCATCTCTATTGCTATGACGTGGTGCTTATTCAGGGCTCAGTCACGCCACATTGCATAGTACGGCTGTATTTCCTTCCTTGGAGTTGATAATCATTGCAATTGCCATTTTCTGTTTCCTGGGTGTCGTTAATTGGTGCCCAGACACTGCTCCGGAGCATCAGCCTCCTGTCAGCTTGCTCGCCATCTCGGGTGGCCTCTGCTTCACCGTGTGTGGGAGCCACCTCCTCCAGGTCTCCCAGCGCCTCTGGGCTCTGCCCGTAACGTTGTCTTGGAGTTTCCCTTAACTGTTATCCTGGGAACTTCTTGGTCTCTCTTCCACATTCAACTCCATTTCCTGGATCCCATGCCTTCCTCTTTCTTGACATATTCCTGATTTGGGTAGCGTTCATACTCTAGACACTTCCTTAAGAGAAGACATCTGGGAAGTAAAAGTTTTAAGACTCTGTGTAGCAGAAAATGTCCTTGATGACAGTCTGGGTGTGGAATCCAACATGGACATAATTTTCCCTGAGAATTTCTAAGGGGGTGCTGCCATTGTCTTTCTAGCTTCCAGTGTCGCTGTTGAGATGCCCAATCCCACTTTATTTGTGAGGTCTGCTTCCCCTCTGGAAGCCATGGGGGGAGTCTTTTCATTTCGGTCCTTGAAGGGACTTGGTGTGCCTTGGTGGCAGTGTGTTCATCCACTGGGCTGGGTGGGCCCCAGCAGGCCCTTCCAAATTTGGAAATCGTGAACTTCAGCTCTGGGGTGTATTTTATGTTCTCCCACTCTGTCCTCTCTTCCAGGAGCTCCTGATGATCAGAAGCCAGGTCTTCCCTCTCCCTCATTTTCCATCCCTGCCTTTTTGTTCTACTTTCTAGATGGTTTTTCTCAGATGGATCTTCTAATTGCTCTATTCTGCTAAAATATTTCTAATGTCTGAGTGCTTTCTTCATAGTTTTCTCTCCTTCTTCCACTAGAGGAATACTGAATTTCTCTGAGAATATTCATGCAGGTGTTCCACTGGCTTCCTTAGCTTTTCTGTTTGTACTGGCTTGTGTCGCACACTGGGCCCAGCGTGTGAGGTTGTCCGTGTGCTCCAGGCCACATCGGCAGCACTGCTAAGCGTATTCCATGGTCTGCCACGCTTTGCTTACCCCGCTCCTCCCGTTGATGGGCACTCGGGTTATTTTTTGGCTTGGGTTGTTATGGAGAAAACAGCTATAACTGTTCTTGTACAAATCTTTTTGTGCATGTATGTTCTTTTCTCTCGGGCAAATACCTAGGAGTGGAGCTACCTGGTCATGGGGGACATTGTGCCGTTTTACACCCCCCACCAACAGTGTTTGAAGTTCAGGTTCCCACATTTTTGCCAACCCTTGGTATTAACCTCATTTTGAATTGTTCTAAAGGGTGTGGGGGGGCATCTGGTGATCTCCCTGGGGCCTAATGAGGTCACGTGCTCGCTGGCCCTTTGTGTATCTCATTTTGTAAAGTAGTGTTTACATTCTTATCCATGTTTAACTGGTGGTTTGTCTTTTGTTATTGATTCAGAGGAATTATTTATATGATCTGAATACAAGTCTTTTGCCAGATAATATTTAGTAGTAATTCTGTCTCTCAATCTTTGACTTTTTGTTTTCTCAATGGTATTTTTCGATGAATAGTTTTTAATTTTTATGAGGCGTGATTTTCCATTTTTTATGGTTACTGCTTCTGGTCTGCTGGGCTTCTGAGAGTTCTTGTCTATCCTAAGGTCACAAAGGCATTCTGCCTTCTTCTAGAAGCTCTGTGACTCCAGCTTGTGCATTCAGGTCTGTGAACCACCTGACACGTCTTGTGCCGGTCAAGGCTCTGTTCTCCTCATGTGGTCATCCAGCTGAGCCAGCACCTTTGGTTGTAGACTGTCCCTCCCCCGTGGCTGCTGTGTCCCCCACCAGAGCATGTGGGCTCTGTTGTGTCTGTCCTTCACGACACCACTGCCACAGCTTTATGGTAAATCTTAACATCAGACACTGCAAATTCCTGAGTTCTGTTTTTTTCAAAATTGCTTTTGGCCCTTCTAGGTCCTTTGCTTTTCCATATAAATTTTTAGAATCAGCTAAGTATTTTATGGGATTTTTTTTCCTGTTGTAAATGTTTTCTTTTAAATTTCACTTTCAAAGTGTTTGTTGCCAGTATATAGAAATACAACTGATATTTGTAAATTGATGCTCTGTATCTTATAGCCGTGCTAAATTCACTTATTCTAATGACTTTTTTATTTTTATTTTTGCATCTCCTATATACATAGTTATATCTTCTGAGAATAAAGCCAGTTTTTGTCTTTCTTTCCAAAATACGTATATGTCTTTTGTTTCTTCTTCTTGGCTTGTTGCACCGGTTAGACTTTGCAGTACAGTGTCGAGTGGAAGTGGGGCACACATGTCTTGTCCTGTCGCCCATGGGAGGGAGAGCATTCACTGTCATCATTGAGTGTCATCTCGGCTGTGGTGTCTATGGTGCCCTGTGTCAGATGGAGGAAGCGCCCTTCTTTTCTTAGTTTGCTGAGTGTGTATCATGGATGGTTGTTACTGTGTTTCTGTCGAGACGATCGTGTAATTTTTCTCCTTTATTCTGTTAATGTGGTGAATTGCATTGATCTTTAAATAAAAACCGATGTCTTCTGAGGGTAGACCTGTTGGCCCATGACGTGTTGCCCACTGCTGGACTCCCTTTGAATCTGTGTGAGGTTGGGCTGCACGTGGGTGTGCTTGCTGGCTTCAGAGTGGAGTTGGGAAGTGCCTCTTCTTTTCCTATTCTCTGGGAAGTTTTATGTGAAATTTGTGTTACTCTTCCTTATACGTTCAGTAGCACTCACTAGTAAAACCATCTGGACATACAGTCTTCTTTGTGGAGATTTAAAAAGGAAAGGTTCGGTTATATTGATGGTTATAGTACAATTCAGATTCTCTTGTCAGTTTGGCACACTGTGTCGTTCTAGGAATATGTCCATTTTATCTGAATTTTCCTACTTAGGCACGAGGTTCACACCTACTTCTCACTTTTGTAACTGAAGCATCTCTGCAGATGCGCCCTTTCTCACTCCTGACACCCCCTCCCTGCCTTTCCTTTTCTCGCAGGAGGGGCCGGGAGTTGGTCCTCTCCGAGCACCATTTGTTAGCTTTGTTGGTCCTCTCTACTGAGTCTTTTGTTTTTCTGCCTCATCAATTTCTGCCCTTACCTTTATTATTTCCGTAATTTGACCCGTTTGATCTAAACTGTTCTTTTTTTCCTAAGGGGTTGTAGGTGTTGTGTTGTGACCTCAGGACGGAGAGGCCAGCCCTCCTGGGCTGCACCAGACCACCCTCTGTCCAGACGTTTCCGCCCATCCCCTTCTCTTTCTGGACTCCTCTGCCGGATCCCACACATGCTCTAGGCTCCCATACGTCTGTTCTAAGGAGCGGTCTCCATGTCCGTTCTGGGGTGTCCTGGGACTCAGGATTTTCTTGTGCCATCTCCATGCTTCATGGGTCTCCAGTGAGCCTGGTCTGCTGCTTAGCCTGCTGAGTGAAGTCTTTATCTCAGACACTGTATTTTCCACTTGTAAAGTGGTGGTTGGCTCTATCCTATAGTTTCCAGTTCTGTGCCAAATTATCAATCTTGTCTTCAATTTCTTGAAAATTTTTTAGCCTGATACCTGAATATTTAATTTTTTGTGGTGATATTAAATTTTGTTTTAATTGTGTTAAAATAAGCATGCGGGGCACCTGCATGGCTCAGTCGGCTAAGCGTCCGACTTCAGCTCAGGTCACGATCTCGCGGTCCGTGGGTTCAAGCCCCACGTCGGGCTCTGTGCTGACAGCTCAGAGCCTGGAGCCTGCTTCAGAGTCTGTGTCTCCCTCTCTGACCCTCCCCTGCTTGTTCTCTCTCTCTCTCTTTCTCAAAAATGAATACACGTTAAAAAAAATTAAATATGCATGCCACAAAATTTCCCACTATAAATATTTTTGAATGTGAAATTTAGCTGCATGAAGTACATTCACGATATTGTGCAACCATCACTACTCAGCTCTGGACCGTTTCCATCTTCCCAAACTGAACCTCTGTCCCTGTTACACCCTAGCCTGCCCCCACACCCCCACCCCCAGTCCCCAGCCTCCGCTCTGTGTATCTGTGATCTTGACCCCTCCAGGGTCAAGGATCTTGACCCTCTCCTCATGTGAGGAGAGACCTTGTCCTTCTGTGTCTGGCTTCATTCACTTAGCGCAGGGTCCTCAAGTTCATCCATGTGTTAGAATTTTCTTCCTTCTTAAGGCCAAGCAACATCCCTTGTACGTGCATGCCACACTTTGCTTACTCCCTCACCCATCACACACGTAGGCTGCTTGCCGCTTTTGGCCCCTGGGACTCTAATCATGGTGGTTGTAGAGCCTGCGTTGTGTCTGCTTCACAACTGCTGAGGCTCTGAGAGACATCCCGGTAATGGCCGCAGCCCCTCTTTGGGGCCATGTCTTTGAGGCAGGCACTGAGGAGGAGGAGGTAGATGGGGATGACTGTCTCTGGGTCCTTTTGCCAGCACACGGCAGGTGCTGTTCCTGGCAACAGTGCTTACTTCTGCTCTGTGCTCCTGCTTGATGTAGAGGCTGTGCCCAGGTTGGCATCATCCGGGCCCTGACGGAGTGTGGCATCCCTGTGGACATGGTTGGAGGGACGTCCATCGGGGCCTTCATGGGCGCCCTATACTCCGAGGAACGGAACTACAGCCAGATACGGATCCGGGCCAAGCAGTGGGCTGAGGTGAGGGGTCTCTGCCCTCCCTGGAGCTCAGCACCAGGTCCCTGTGGTGCTGTGGAGGGCGGGAGGGCATTGGGACCTTTGGCCCCTGATCACACTCTGCAGGGCTCTGGCCTCAGATTGGGGTTTACAGGATGGTGAGGGAATGGGGAGCACAAAAGAGATAAGGACATCAGTGTTGGGAGGTTTGGCTCTGGTTGGTGCTTGGTCTTAATTTATAAAGGTGACTGAAGACAACACAGAGAGGTCAGCACCACCGGAAGAAAAGTTTAATGTTACCTGTAGTTGCCCACCCTACAGGACCACATGGGAGCACCCATGCCTGCGAGGCAGCAGAGAGGAGCAAGGGGAAGGCCGAGGCCAGAGCCTTTATGGGGGTTTCTGTGGGAAAGGCAGGGGAGGGCAGGGTAAACAGCTTCGGATGGGCTTTTGGAATAATTCCAGTGGGCTTGCCGTGTAGGGGCCGTCCCCAGTTGTCTGGTGCCTGGGCCTGGGTTGATTCAGGCGGAGGATTATTGACCTGGTGTGAGAGTGTGACATAGAAAGGGGGCTGGGGCGTGTGGGCTCTGGATCGCTCGGTTTGCAGGAGAGACGCTCCCAGCGGGCGAGGCTTCTGCTGTCTCTAAGGATTGGCTAGCCCTGCGAGGGGACAGCCTCTCCCCGGGTCTGTAAGACCCCACATGCCAGGGCATCAGGAAGATAGAAAATAAGAAGAAATTGCTAATAGCTGGCCGGGTGATGAATGCAGGCCAAAAAGCCCGCACTATAAGCGAGCTCGCTGCAGCAGCTCCCGTGGGCAGACTGGAGCCTGGTGGGGAGGCTGACTCACCCCTGTCCTGAAGGTACAGATGCCGTTTGCCCTTGTCACAGTTCCACTTGCTTTCCTGGGGCAGCACAGAGCCCCATGAGTGGGGTCAAAAGTGTTCAAGTTCTCCTTTTAAAAAAGAAAAGAAAATTGTTCATCTTCTATGGCAGAAGGTGTCAGAGAAGGCTATCTGCCCCATCCATGTGGCCCCAACTCTGTTCCAGAGACCCCTCTTTCCCTGAAATGAGCCACCCCAGACACCCCTCAGTGGGCCGCTCCAAGGAGAGGTCCAGGAGCAAACACAGCTCGTCACTAAGGATGGCCTCTGAGAACAGTGGGTGTGGGCACAGTGTGCTTCAGCCTCAGTTGAGGGTCTGCTCACAGGCCAGGAGGACACCTCCCTTCCCCACCTCTGCTGGCCCAGTGCAGGTGTGGGACTGGCCAGGGAGCTTTGGGCTTGATGCCCCTGTCGTCCTCAGTGAGCAATGGGCTGTGGGACTCTGCACGGCAGGGCAGAATGGATCCCATCCAGGATGGCCTCTGTCCTGCCTGTCTGCGTGGGCCCTTGGCCTCCTGCCGTGCTGAGGGGATGTGACTGTGGGGGCCGCCAGGCTTGACTCTGCAGGCTTTCTGGTGCTAGGCAGGGGCTTCTTCAGGAGTGAGGCCTTGCTAACCAGGGAGGACCCTGGGGTGTCCTGTGCTTCTGGGTCCCTTTCCTCTAGGAGCACACGGGTTCCCTCTGTTTGAACAGAGTCTCCACTCTGTTCATCTCAGTGTGAACACACTGGGGGGCAGCTCCCCCTCACCTGGGGGCCCACCCCTTGTGTGGCCTCTGTTTTAGGCTTTTCCATCTGTTTCTGTCCACACAGAGGCAGGGAGGACCTTTCCTCTCTATCCCTGACTCTTAAGAAGGTAGATAACCTTGAACCCAGGCATTCTTGGGGCAAGGCCAGTGCCGCCTGGTCAGTCACGTGTCCTCCTCGCAGGTCTAAGAGGCCCACGTCCTCACTGAGGAAGGATGAGCTTCAGTCCCACAAGGGGGGGGGGGGGTGGCCTTCAGCAGAGAGGACCCTCAACAGGGCCCTGTTTCCGGGACCCTGTTGTAGGGCCTGCCATGCTGGAATGTGAGGGTCAACCCTAAGCATTCTAGGGCAGGGCAGCTCCCCCTCCTGGAGAAATCTTGACGGGTCGGGTGTTATTGCCTTTGGGGACCTCAGGGGGTAGCGGTCCCTGCCACTCACCTGCCAGTGTGGGTCCTGGATGGAGCTTCGTCCTCAGCTCGGCCTCCTGAGCAGGTGTCAGCAGGCACCCTCACGGGACCTCAAGGCCCTGCTGCTCAGGCCCTGGAATTCTCTCCTCCTGGGGGACTCCTCAGGACGCTTCCCAAACACCCTTGTTCTGTTTGCAGGAAGCACAGACGTGTGCTGTGTCCCTGCTCCCTTTTCTGGATTTGGGCTCCTGGCTGGGTCCTGTGGGATCACCTTGCCACCCACGCCAGCAGGTGGGGGCGGGGTGTGAGCCCCTCATCCTCTGCAGGGGTCTCATGTGTGCCCCATCCACTCAGGACATGACTTCGATGGTGAAGACTGTGCTGGACCTGACCTACCCCATCACCTCCATGTTCTCGGGGGCCGGCTTTAATAGCAGCATCTGTAGCGTCTTCAAGGACCGGCAGATCGAGGTGCCCCCCAAAGCAGGGACCACCCTGGGGTGCCTCAGCTGGAGCCTACAGCCAGCCTGAGCCTGACTTGTGTCTGGGTGCTTGGCGTCCTCCTCATCCCCTCAAGCCCCTGGGCCTACAGGGTCAGGGAGCTGGCCGTCAGGGAGGATGTCCTAAGTCCTGTCCCCCCCCACCCTTGCAGGACCTATGGATCCCCTACTTTACCATCACCACAGACATCACAGCCTCTGCTATGCGGGTCCACACGGACGGTGAGCACCTCCTCCTTGGGTGCCCCTTGATACGGGCTCAGGCATGCACAGGGCACAGCCCCCCACTCAGGGCAGAGTGTCAGGGGAGGGACATTGAAAGAGCACCTCCAGGGGGGGCAGGTTGCAGGTAGAGAGCGTGGCAGCTCCTTGAACTGGACGAAGCACCAAGATGACCTGGAGGAGGCAAGACACTCAGGGAGATCTGAACACAGAGGTGATCCTGCTGTGAGCATGAAGGAAATGGGGAGGGACATAACCAAGAGCCTAAAAACACTGAGAAGTCCAAACTGGACACAGAAAGGTGGAGAAAACTTTGTGAACTGGGAGCAGAGAGGAGTGGGGTGAAGGGCCTGCTTGGGCCGTGGGGTGTAATGAAGGGCACATGCAGGGCATGTGTTTTTATGAGTTCGAATCAGGAGGTAGTGGTAGACTGCTTGGGCTGGGGACCATGAGAAGGCTGATGCATGGGTGGCAGCTGAGGGCCCTTTTCCTGGGCAGAGCGGTTTGTGAGCTGATTGCATGTGTCTCTCTGGAGGTGAGTGGGACGACGTGGCTCACACAGTGGAACGTGGAAAGACTGCAGAGCCAGCCTGGCCTCCCTTGTGGAGGAGAAAGAACAGGAGGGGTGTCTGTCTTCAGGCCTGCGGCCATCCGCCAGAGCCAGACATGCAGACTTCAGGACCCAAACGCTAGCAGGGCTCTGAGCTGAGGGTCCAGGGCAGGAACCCACCGTGGGCAGTGCGAAGCTCCCCTCCCACAGGCCCTGGTGACCTCTCCCCCAGCCCCCCGACTCTCCCCCAGGCTCCCTGTGGAGGTACGTGCGTGCCAGCATGTCTCTGTCAGGCTACCTGCCTCCCCTCTGCGACCCCAAAGACGGACACCTGCTGATGGACGGGGGCTACATCAACAACCTCCCAGGTGCTGCAGTGGGTGGGGAGGGGCTGCCCCCACCCCTGCCTCAGCCCCCTCCACTCCCAGGAAGGCCAGTGGCACGTTTTCCTCAGTGTTCCCTGGAGCAGGGGGTGGGGGGTTATAGGTGCTCCCGGAGTCTGGGGAACACGTCCAGGCACACACACAGACGCACGCCCTCGTGCACACTAGCTCGGGCACCGTGTGCTCCCAGCATATGGCCCTGTTTGTCGGCTCAGCAGCACTCAGAACAAGGGCCAAGTAGAGGAGCTGAGAGCAATTATGTCCCATCTGTGCCCACAGTCAGAACTAACAGCCAGAAAGTGCCAGGTCTGTTGTGGGTGAGGCCCCTCCCCTGGGCACACCTGTCACCTGTTGGACAGTTCTGTGCACTAGGCTGCCTCTCTACAGGCCCAAGGGGAGACCCTCTGGCTCCCAGTGCTATGCAGGCTCTCTCCCCGTCCCTCCCAAGCCCTGTTCCCACCCGGGGCTCTATGTGCCTGTCCTGGGTGGTGACCAAGGCTGTCTTCTCCCCAGCGGATGTGGCCAGGTCTATGGGGGCAAAGGTGGTGATTGCCATTGATGTGGGCAGCCAGGATGAGACGGACCTCACCAACTATGGCGACGCGCTGTCTGGGTGGTGGCTGCTGTGGAAGCGCTGGAACCCCTTGGCCACAAAAGTCAAGGTGGGGGGCATAGCTCTGCACAGTGCCCAGGTCATCAGGTGCTCCTCTGTAGCTTCCCTTGAAGTCTCTCCATGCTCTCATACCACTGGCCCCAAGATGGGCGGTGTGCTGCTGCCCAAATGCCTCCTGTGGGCGGGGGAGGGTTGTAGTGCATTCCAGGCCCCGAGGCCAACAGAGCTTGCTCACTGCCCTTGCCAAGGATCCTGCCTGGACCAGCTCTGGGGAAAGGGGACAGGCCCAGAGGCTTCACACACTGTCAGGATACATCTCCAGGACCCCTGGCTGGGCACCTGCCCTCCCAGGCCTAGCAGGGATGTGTCTCCCCTTGGGGAGGGGAGGGAGAGGGTCAGGGCACAAGACCCAGGCAGCTGTGCCCGCATGGGGCCATGTGGGGACCGCAGAGCCTTGCTCAGGTGCTCTGATGGCAGCAGGTGTTGAACATGGCGGAGATCCAGACACGCCTGGCCTATGTGTGCTGCGTCCGGCAGCTGGAGATGGTGAAGAACAGTGAGTACTGTGAGTACCTGCGCCCTCCCATCGACAGCTACGGTACTCTGGACTTTGGCAAGTTCAACGAGATTTGCGTGAGTGCAGCTGGGGTGCGGAGGGTCGGCGGGGTCCAGTGTCTGCCTGCCCCCTCCCCAGCCTCCCTGCCCTCACTTCTGAGAGCTTAGAAGTGGGGGCTCCTGGTGTGTGTGCAGGAAGTGGGGTATCAGCACGGGCGGACAGTGTTTGACATCTGGGGTCGAAGTGGTGTGCTGGAAAAGATGCTACAGGACCGGCAGGGAACGAGCAAGATGAAGGCGTGTGATGTGAGTGCCAGAGCTCGCACCCTCCTTCCCTTCCTGCCTCAGTGGGCCCGAGAGGCGCAGAACTCCCTGCTCTCTGCAGGACCGTGGCACACCCCTTCAGCTGCTCAGGGGCCAGAAGACAGGGCAGGGGTGTCACCCCGTGGGGGTGAACTCTTGGCCTCTGCCTCACCATCCCCTCTTTTTGCCCCACTCTGGCTCTCTACTCTTCTGGTACTCACGGTTGAAGGGGATGGGGGCTTGCTTAGGCCCCTGCCCATCTTCTGTGCCCCTGCCCCAACTCCAGGGGTTAACTTGGGCACCTTAGCAAACTAGGGCCATAGAGGGTCACAGAGATGTCTCTTCCACCTCGGCCCTCCAGGTCCTCACCTGCCCCAATGCCTCCTTCACGGACCTTGCTGAGATTGTGTCACGCATTGAGCCTGCCAAAGTAGCCACGGTGGACGGTGAGTTGGACGCCCAGGACATGCACAGCCGCAGGTGGGGGTGGCAACATCTCTTTCTGACCCTTGGTGTGCCCAGCAAGCCACCCTGGTCACCAGGCTCCCTCTAGCAGCCCCTGGACATGATGAGTGGCAGGTAGGGGCTTGTGCCACCATGGCATGGCCCCTGCTCTTGAGAGGGCACCAACACGGCTCTCCCTTCCACCCAGACGAGTCTGACTACCAGACGGAGTATGAGGAGGAGCTGCCAGATGGCTCCAAGGACACGTATGCTGACTTCCAGAGCGCCCCGGCCCACTTGGGCTCCGACTCGGTGAGCTGCCTAGACCTGCCTGTGGTGCCCCTCAGCTGAGGCAGCTCCGAGGGCTCCAAGCAGGCCAGCTGCTCGCTCCCTGCTGCCCTGCAGCACAGAGCCACAGAGACCTGGCCCTGGGTCAGCCCTTTGGGCTCACCCCCACCTGCACGGTGTGCGGTTTGATTCTAGGAGGACGAACCCTCACTTCGGCATCGGTACCCCAGTCTGGCTTCCCCAAACTGTCCTGCTGTTGACATGCTGACGAAGATGGGTGGAGCCCCTCACTCTGATGCGCCCTAGAGTCCGCCTCTGCTGTGGGCCTTTCTCAGAGACCGGGCTCCTAGAGTTCCAGGGGGCTCTTCCCCACCGGGCTGGGGCCCAGCGCCCTGTGCACCATGGGTCCAGCTTCATCTGTGCCGGACCCAACCTGTATGTGTTTGGGGTGGGGGTGGGGGGGCGGC